ATTTATTCTGAAATTGCTAGTGCTGAACAGCCTGTGAGTTGTGATCAAGTGAGAAAATAACTTGGATTAGTTGACAAAATTTGTTTTGAAATTGTTAGTGCCGATATGCTAAAAAAGAAATGTGATATGGTAAAGTCTTGAGAACTATATTACCACAATTAATTAAAATTTCATGATATTAATGTTAGTGACATCTGCATTACATGCATTGTATTTACATTATTAGTTGAACAATACATATATATAATTTGGTGAATATTTAAATCTTGGCTGACCATGCATTTGCCTCATGTAGTGAATATTTGAATCATGGTTTAGAGTATAATATTTGCATTATTGTGAGAATCTAGATTTTTGCATTTGCATCATTAAAAAAGCATTTACATCATTATCATGAGATTCATTACATACAAAATTTTGACTTTGATGAAAGATTGAGAATTTTCATGATAAGAAATTTTAAACTTTTTAAGAAAAGCTTTGTAAAATAAGGTTGGGAATCCTCGAATGGAAAAATATTTTGAGGAAAACATTTAGAATTCTAAAGCGTTTTAAAGAAGCATTTTTTAATGTCAAAAATGATGAAAATCTTTGAATTTTGAATGAAAATCTTTGAATGAAAATCTTTAAGAAGTTTTAAATGAGACTCTTAGAATGAGAATTTTTATCTTTGAGTTTTAAATGGGAAGCTTGAGAATTTGTCTGAATCTTCAAAGTTTTTTTAATTCAAATCTTTAAAGAATCGTATGTGAATCACAAAAAGTTTTTGAGTGAAAAGCTTTGAAATTTTGGATGTGAACCCCTAAATTTTTTAAATGAGAACTTTTGAATTTAGATGTGAAACTCTAGAATTTTTTGCATGTGAATCTTTGGACTTGATTGAGAACCGAGTCAATTTGTTCGAAGTTGGAAGAGTTCAAGATCTAAAAGAAAAAGTCTTGAAAACTTGAGTACCATGATTGAAAAGAAACTAATTAATTGACATTTTGCATAGCATGCATTGCATTTAAGAATGTCTAATGCATAAATTTAGGAAGCAAATATATTTCAAGATCCCAAATAAAGAAAATAGATATGAAAACTTTCCAATGAAAGAATTTCAAATTCTCATTTGAAAAAAGAAAACCTCCGAGGTAAGATTCTAATCCTTGAAAAATGATATTTCCCAATATTATGAACGATTTGTAAGACCTCTAGACATAATCTTCTATAATTTCTTCTGATAACCTATAAAACCTCTGAACATGATTGTCGATAAGCCTTATTTATTTTTCAAAAGTTGTTGAACCTCTGTTTAAAGAAGCTTTATTTATTTTTTTAAAGTTGTTGAACTTCTGCTTAGGGAAGCCTTATTTATTTTTCAAAATTACTGTACCTCTACTTAAAAGATCTTTATTTATTTTTAAAAGTTGTTAAACCTCTGCTTAAAGGAACCTTATTTATTTTTCAAAGTCGTTAAACCTTTATTTAGAGGAGCCTTATTTATTTTTTCAAAGTTGTTAAACCTCTACTTAGATGAGCCTTATTTATTTTTCAAAGTTATTGAGCCTCTGTTTAAAGGAGTTTTTATGTTATTCAAAAGGTTTGAGTATCTATTTAAAAAAATCAAAAAATATGTCGAATTGATTATTTGGATATAAGGGGTGTATACATCTTTACACAATTCTTATTTCACAGAAAATATGTAAAGAGAGCCAATTATAGATACCCCAATCTGTCTGGGATGTAATTGTTTTTTTTTTAATAAACATAAAAAGAAAAAGAAAAAATCAGATGGTTAAGTTTGTGTGAAATTGTTTGTATGGACTAAGAGTTTGAGTTAGGCTTAGAATTTGAAGTTGGAATTTAAAAGAAATTGAAATTCCTTTTTGGTATAAGGTTCTCTTGATCAAAACCCTATAAAAACATACCTATAGCGAACAACAAAGGACACAAGTCAGAGAAAAAACACGAAAACAACCAAAAAATACAAAAATTTTTAGGAAAACTTTTGGTTTGAAAAGCATATTTGCAATTTTTTTTCTTTCTAGAAATTTCTAGATTTTGACATAATTTTTCAACAAAATTCATCTTTTTCGATGGAGTTTTCCAAACCCCGATGAGATTTTTCCAATTTTCGACGAAGGCTTCAACTGAAGTTCTTGGTTTTTAGAAAGACAAAAAGAGAAAAAAGGAGATCTGAGGAAAAGAAGGAATTTGGCATTTTATATCCCCACCAAAATGACATTGTTTTGGTGTATAGATTTACCAAGATCCATTTCTTTCTATTCGGACCGATCCGACCCGTAACGTTGATCCACTTTTTGACCCGTTCCAACCTTTGTCTTTTAAGTCGAGCAAAATCGAGCCATCATCTTAAGCCATTCCAACTTTTTTTCCTACTATCGAGCCCTCAAGCCGTTAGAGTCGAACCATTCCTATTTTGGTTTTTTATTTTTATTCTATTTTATTATTTTTAAGGTATTTTTGCATTATTAAATTTTAAAAAAATTAATAAAAAATAAAAAACTCAAATTTAATAAAATTTTTTGAAATTTAAATACTAATTATCCAATAATGAGATTCTTAAAAATTTTAAATAGTAATTTTTTTAAGAAATTTTATGTAAAAAATTTATCTAAATTTATCCCAAATAAAGGAATAATTTAGATAAATTTTAAATAAAAGTAATTATATTTTTTTCAAATAAAAGTATTAACAATATAACTTAAAAATTTTGGTTAAAAATATTTGATAATTATCCAAAGATTAAAATATTAGAAATTTCAAATGATAAATTTTTTAATAAATCTCTAAGTGAAAAAATTTGTTTAATTTATCCTAAATGATAGAAAAATTTAAATGAAACTTCAAAAAAAATAATTGTCATATTATTTTCTTTTCAAAAATTAAAAAAAAAAACTTTTAGATAGACCCAAATGGTGAAAAATTTAAAAATTAAAAAGAAAAAATTTTTAAATAAATCCAATTGATGAAAAATTTAAAAATTAAAAAGAAAATTTTCTAAAAAAACCCAAATAATGAAAATTTTAAAAATAAAAAAAAAATTAAATAGGCTCAAATGGTGAAAAATTTAGAAATGAAAAAATAAATAAATTTTGATTATGAAATTTTTAATAATCATAAATGATTGATTATCTAATAAATCTCTAAATTAGAAGATATTTTTAATTTTGACCTAAATAGTAGATGAATTAGATATATTTTCAAAAAAAAAATAAAGCAAAATAAAAAAATGATTAAATCTTTTTTCGACGATGATGCCTCTTCAAGAAAACAAATGAAATTCTTGAATACTTTTGAGATGAAAAAATATTTCAGATTGATGGAAAATCTTAAAAGTTATTTTCAATATTCAACATTAAAATTTAAGATCATTAGAATCAAAATCATAGGATAATTTAAAATAAAATGGTATCACTCGTGGATAAACATGTGAAGTGCTATAACATTCCCCATATGTAACCTAACTTGCGAATCTTATTCTGATTAGTAGACCAGAACTTATTTTTTATGAACCTTTAGTCAAATTTAAGATATCCATAAAATGATAAATTCATTAAGTGATCAATCACACCTAGTAAAAAAGATTAGTGACGACTTTTTAGTTTGTGTCTAACTATAAATCTATGAATCTATACATTATGACAATAATATTTAATAAATAATGCTTTAATTAAATTGGAGGAACTTTATCTCTTATTTAAATATTTATGCTTATTAATTTAAATAAAAGCAATAATATTTTAGAAAAATAAATATTTTTTAAAAGTCTTCTTTATGCTCATTAATTTAAATAAAAGTAATAATATTTTTTAAAAAAATGTTTATTAAAAGCCTGTTTGCTTTGGGTTTAATTTTTTTTTTTAATTTTCTATGATATGATAAGATTTTTTATTACATGAAAAATCTAGATATTGTTTGGTTAAGTTCAATATTTACATTCTATCTAACTTTTATTTTGGATAAAATTTATTAAAATAACAAAATTTGACACATTTAACAAATTTTAGCGATCTTGTAATGATAAATTAAAGTTCAATAATCTATTTAAAAATTGAACAAAATTTTAATGACTTTTCTTTAAACTATGAATTTACTTAATTGATGTGACAAATGATGTAACTAATGACGTGACAAATATGTAAGCTTTTTTTGTCAAAATTTGAATGAAATATTTTAGAGTGACCAATTTTAATAAATTTAATAAACTCGATGATATGATTGGGACAAATTAAAGTTCAATAATCCAAATAAAATTTGAATATAAGTTGAATGACTAATGATGAAATTTAAGTGATTTTGAAAAAAAAAAAAAAAAAACTAAATGAGTCAAGCTCTAAGCTCAATCTCTATCTTCATTTGCACACACGATTCCACACATTTGAATACGTCAATAAATTAAAATATGATAAAACAACAATAACTTTTACAGATAAAAAAGAAACAGGAAAGAGAGCAAGACTAGGAAGAGTAAACAACTATAAGCCCGTCTATGAATAGAGGTACTTAAGTTAGTATGTTTCAAATTTCAAGCTACAAATATATACCAAGCAAAATGTTGTGCAAATCCAGTGCTTTCGATATAATTAAAACCACAAACTTTTGAAGCTCAACATTGATATTTTTCCCAATATTGGACTACATGTTAGTTTATGTGTTGCATCTCAATGACAAGTAGGAATCTTGAAATAATAAAAATAAAAAACACTCGGTACAATTTGTTGAGAATGGAAAAGTGCTATAAGCAATAGAATGGAATTTTATATACCATTAGCCAGCCAATGAGAAAGTGTCTAAATGGCAACAAAGGCGGCTTTGGAACCTTTAGGTCCCAAGTCCAAATGTCACCATGTATAGGCATATACATCTAATCTCAACAAAGACAGAAGGATGAAAATTATATTATTTTAGCTCACTCCTCTGTTTATCATACGTTCAATTTACTCAGCAGTCCATTAACAATAGTTTAAAGCTAATAAAATTAAAATAGCTAGGTATTCCAATCAATAGCAAATTTAGATTTCAAAATTAACTCTTAACAGATCATGCAATACCTGTAGTTATTTTTGTTTATATATATATAGACACACAAACACAATGCTCTTCAATGCAACATAAAGCCTCCTATTTCCATAAAAATTAAAAGTTTCAACAGCACTTACGATAATTGACCAATCGGTTCCAGATCACCAGCTTTAAACTTCTCCTCTTTGAATGAGCGATGGTGAAGTTGACGTGTGAAACTGCTCGTTGTGTCCAAGAAATAGAGAAGAAATGACATTATGCAGCAGCACAAAAACATGGGTATAGGCCCAAAGTTCCAAAGCAATAGGGGGAAGGATAAGTAAAAGGCTCGCAGTCCGAGTGACCAGAAATAACTTCCTCTATTTAAGTTTCTTGCAACATACTGAACAGACTCCATATTGTCTATCGATGAAGGGAGAGTGACCAAGAAGCTTACATGGGCATAGTATCTAATAGACTGCACATTGCAAAGAAAGGCAACAAGGAAACAAAGCAAGATGGAAAAATACTTGATTGAAGAGAGTAGAGGTCCCTTATTGCCATAAACTATTTGTGAAGTAGTGTTGCCAAAGTCCGAGCTGCTGCTGCTAACAAAAACACTAATCAGTGAACTAAGAGTGATTGCTGTTGTTGCCAAAAGGGTAGATGCCATTATGTTGTTGCGTATTGTTTGTACTGCCAAAACACCATTTTTCAAGGGATCCTGAAACATCAAAGACGAGATCAATATCATGCTTAGTTTATGGACCATCCTGGACAGAAATGTTGAAGTTGATATCTATTTTGCTAGAGAACAAGAACACTGACATTCTAGAGAAATAGAAAACATTCTTGCAATAAATACTGTCTTGAATACATTCGTGTATATTTTATGGCAGTTAATTGTTTTATAAAAATTCAAAAAGCCAACCCCAACCCACCCCGGCCTATCAAAGATGCTGGTAATGAGGCAAAATTGTCTTCTTCGTCAGTAAAAGTAAGTAAAACATGAATTTTGTGGTCTTTTAGCATTTCATTACTTGAGATCTCCTTATGCCGATATCACATTCAACATTCTAAAAACTAGTTCTTGGTTTATTGTTACTTTGTTAATTGAAAAACAAACTAAGCCACATTCTGCATAGCAGATCTTCACCACAGCATTGTTTCTCCCAGTTTTAGCAAGAAGTTTTTACCAGTCAGCCTAATTCTTCTTCACTCCATATTCATTGAGTTCCACAGATATAGCATTTTTTATTTGAATCAAATATTCTTTTCTTGGCCAGTAAGTAACGAATACTTAAAGATAAATAAATACTGCTCCCCGAATGTTGCAAAAGCATATTCCCATGTTGTAGCACTCTGTTATTGCAGACATTGAGTCCTAAAAAGATGGTGCATATCAACAAAGAAAACCTATAACCAACTTAATATTCAAAAGGGCCATTGGTAATGCTCCAAAACCACAGACAAATGCCTGAAAGAAATCTCATTATGCTGCATTTGATTATTGCCAAAATTCAGACCAGCAAGGATGCTGAATTCTTTTGACAAAAGATCCACAAACCATCATTTGAAGCTCTTGAAAATAGAGTGAAGAAATTCATGATAATTTTATTTATGAATTCTTAAGAAACTTTCTAGAGTACAAGAGGATATATATAGCTAAAACATCAAATCTAGCAAATCCCATGATATCCTAAAAATAATAACAAATCACCTAAAAATCCTCTAACAATAAATGGAAACTACCAAGTAGGAATTTGGTCAATGAACCAAATCCCTTTTATTTAGGAAACAACCAAAGTATTAAATGAATGATAGCTAATCAAATTTGGTTAGGAATCGGTTTTCCACACTCCCCCTCAAGTTGAGTGGTAGATATCAATCATACCCAACTTAGACTTCAAACTCTCGAAATTGCCACGATGAAAAGATTTGGTGAGGATGTCAGCTGTCTTATGTTCTGATGGAGTGTAGATTAGTTTGACCGCACCTTTTTCAATCTTCTCTTTGATGAAGTGACAATCAATCTCTACACATTTCATTCGATCATGATGAACAAGGTTGTTGGCAATGTTAATAGCTGTTTTATTATCACAAAACAGTTTCATTGAATTTTCAGCTGACTTTTTCAGTTCCTATAGCATTCTCTCAAGCCAAATTCCTTCACAAATCCCATGAGACATAGCCCTAAATTCAGCTTCAACATTACTTTGAGCTACCACTGCTTGTTTCTTGCTCCTCCAGGTGACCAAGTTGGCCCACACATATGTACAATACCCTATAGTTGACCTTCAGTCTGTCACAGAACCAGCCCAATCTACATCTGAGAAAATCTCCACATCTTTATTTAATGTTTTTCTAAAGTGCAACCTTTGCCCGAATTTTTTTTTCAAGTATTGAAGGATCCAGTATACTGCCTCCATGTGTGTCTTTGTAGGATTGTTCATAAATCTGCTTACCATAGTAACAAAGAAGCCAATGTCAGGTCTAGTGTGCACCAAATAAATTAATTTTCCCACAAGTCTTTGGTATCTATTTTGATCTGCAAGAGGACTTCCATCTCTGGTTCCCATCTTGATATTTGGGTCCATCAAAGTATTCATTGGTTTACACCCGAGCATCCTTCTATCTTTGAGAAGATCAAATACATATTTTCGTTGTGAAACAGAAATATCATTTCTTGATCGAGCTACTTCCATGCCAAGAAAATATCGAAGCTGTGCCAAGTCCTTTATTTCAAATTCTTTAGCTAGAAAAGTCTTCAATCCAACCGTTTCCTTTTCATAATCTCTTGTAAGGACAATATAGTCAACATAAACAATCATAATAGCAATCTTGCTATTTGGTGAATGTTTAACAAACATAATATGGTCAGATTGGCATTGTAAGAACCCATTCTTTTTAACAGCATTAGTCAAATGATCAAACCAAGTGCGAGGAGATTGTTTGAGGCCATATAAGGATTTCTGAAGCTTACACACCTTGCCAATGTTGTCCTACTTGTCAAACCCAAGAGGAATCTTCATGAAGACCTCTTCCACTAGATCACCATTCAAAAATGCATTTCTGATATCGAGTTGGTGAAGAGGCCACTCTAGGTTTACAACAAGTGATAGTAACACAAGGACATAATTCAATTTTGCTACAAGAGCAAATGTCTCTTCATAATCAATCCTGTAAAACTGAGTGAACCCCTCAGCCACAAGATGAGCTCTGTTCACACTTCCCTCAATATTGTGTTTGATAGTAAAAATCCACTTACATCCCACTGGGCTCTTTCCTCTAGGAAGATCAGAAATTTCCATGTGATATTCTTTTCTAATGCTTGCATTTCTTCCATTACTACAACCTTCCATTTTGGTTTTCCGACCGCTTCTTGGATGGTATTCAGTATATGAACATCGGTTAATGATGTAACTAGTCATTGGTAAGTAAGAAACAACCTTTCATAGGAAACAAAGTTACTAATAGGGTGCTGAGTACATAATCTCACACCTTTTCTTATAGCAACAGGCTGATCAAGATCACTAGGAAAATCATTAGAGATAGATTCAATAATTGTGTTACTTGTATGAATTTCAAAAGTCCTTGGATTTGGTTCAGAATCTTGGTTCTGTGTTAGAGATGTACAGGTCCCTATCTCCTTTTGAAATTTGTCTCCTTGAGTATACAATCATTTCTTTAGCTTTTGTCTCTTACGCAATTTCAAGAGATTTTGGAAACTTAAGATGACTAGTTGACTTAGATAAAAAAAAAAAAAAGAATTATTTGAAATGAGAATTTGAATTAGCAAACAAGTACAAGAAGGATTAGATGATGGCTCAATCTCCCAAAGTTTATATTCCCTAGAACTATCCCCTGAATATCAACTTTGGGATAGAATGGTTGATTCTCAAATAAGGTGATATCCATAGAAGTGTAAAACTTTCTGGTAGTTGGTAAATAACATCTATAGCCTTTTTAGTTAGGTAAGTAGCCAAGAAATATACACCTGAATGATCTAGGGTCTAGTTTACTGAGTTATTGTTGGTGTATATGAACAAAGGTAGTACATTCGAACACTTTGACTGGTACGGAGGAAATGATTAGGACATGAGGGTAAGTTTTGAGAAATGTTTGACAGGGGGTTTGGAATCTTAGTACTCAAGAAGGCATCTTATTGATAAGAAATGTTGCTGTCAAGATTGCCTCTACCCAAAAATGTTTCGAACCATGAAAGGCTCGCGTAATAAATCTTGCAACTTCCATCAGATGTTTGTTTTTCCACTCAACAACTCCGTTTTGTTAAAGAGTTTCATTATATGAGATCTGATGAATAATTCCTTGATCTAACAAGTAAGATCCAAAAACTGAGTAATAGTATTCTCGCCCATTATCTATTTCGAGCACCTAAATTTTTTCTTGATATTGAGTTTGCACCATCTTGTTGAAATTTTGAAATATTGACTAACCTCTGACTTTTCTGTTATGAGGAACAGCCATGTAACTCTAGTATGATCATTAATGAAGGTAACAAACCATCTAGAGTCTGTAATATTGTTAACCCTCGATAGTCCCCAAACATCACTATGGATCATAGAAAAAGGATGAGTTGATTTGTATGGTTGACTTGAATATGAATTGCGATTGTGGTTGGAAAACTAACAAATTTCATATTGATAAGACTCGGAACCTTTATTGAATAAATTAGGGAATAATTTTTTAGGTACAAGAAATTTGGATGTCCTAAACGATAGTGCCATAACATGATTGTATTTTCCTTACTCTTACTAGAAGATGAAACCGAATAAGCATTCTTCCATGATTGTCTTTTAGATTATTCATCTTTAAAGAGATAAAGTCTAGCACACATCCTAGCATTGCCAATCTTCTTCCCCGAATCCAAGCCCTGAAATTCACATGTTAGAAAGAAATTTAGTAACACAATTAAGATCTCTTGTAATTTTACTAATAAAGAGAATGTTGCAATCTAAATTAGAGACATGAAGAATAGAGTCAAGTGTTAAGTTCTTTGAAATAATGACTAAACCTATCCCAGCTACCCGAAAGAGTGACCCATCTGCTATTCAAACTATGAAGTTTTCAAAACATGGGCTATATTCATGGAACACTGATGCATCACCAGTCATATGGTCTGATGTGCTTGAATCAACAATCCAAGATCTTGATTTTCCACTTTGCACAAGTAGAGTATTGAGAAAGTTACCTTTTTGTGCAACAGATGTTGTGCTTACAACTAACCTAATGTTCTGAAAAGATCGTTGAACAATTGTCTAAAGGAATTCCAACCGCTTTTTACTGAGCAGGCTTAATTCCAAGGGTGTTGGAGTTGTCTCGATGGTGGCAGAATTTCCATGACTCTCGATTTCGAGTAAAACGTGGTTTGTAGTCAACCAGTTTCTTAAAGATTTGCCAACAATTTTCCTGTGTATATCCTGCCTTCTAACAATGGTCACACCAAGGTCTGTTAGCTTTCTTCTATTGATTTTCACCACCTTGTTGGGATTTTGGTCCTCATGTAGCAAAGGCTGAATTTTCTATCTCTTGTGGATTGCATGATGTCCCTAGCATCACTTTCCTTCTACTTTCTTCTCAGTGAACCTCAGAGAAAACTTCTCGGATGGTGGGTAATAGCTTGATGCTAAGAATTCTCCCACGAACATCATCAAGGCTCTTGTTTAGACCAAGTAAAACTTATAAACTCGATCCTTCTCCACTATTTTCATGTATTGTTGGCTATCATCAGGACACTTCCATGCTATTTCTTCAAAGATATCTAATTGCTACCAATAACGAGTTAAGAAATTAAAATATTATGTGATAGAGGAGTCTTTTCATAGCAAGTCATGTAGAGTGTTTTTTGTCTCGAATATTGCAGAAGTATTGTTTACGTTAGAATAGGTTTCTTTGCAGCATCCCAAATCTCCTTGGCAATTTTGTAGTACATGAAATTCTCACCAATCTCGTTGGTCATAGAAATGATCAACCATAACATTACCATGCTATTCTCCAACTTCCAGGTCCGATACTTCGGGTCATCCTTGCTAGGTGAAATAGCCATTCTCGTGAGATAATCTTCCTTACCTTTTCCACAAACAAACAACATCACTGATTGAGACTATTGGATGAAGTTTTGTCCATTATGTTTGTGACTAATGATAGGCAAAATAGGGGGCTCGAACACACCTATGCTACAAGCCATGGCATAGATAGAGAGATAGAAAAATATATATACATATATATATATATATAGGTTTTGAGGATTAAGGATGAACGCTCTAATACAATGAAGAAATTCATGAGAATTTTATTTATAAATTCTCAAGAAACTTTCTAGAGTACAATAGGATATATATATAGCTAAGACATCAAATCTAGCAAATCCCATGATGTCCTAAAGATAATTACAAATCATCTAAATATCTTCTAACAATAAATGGAAACTACCAAGTAGGAATTTGGTCAATGAACCAAATCCCTTTTATTTAGGAAACAACCAAAATACTAAATGAATGACAGCTAATCAAATCTGGTTAGGAATTGGTTTTTCACATAGAGAAAACAAAAGGCATGTCCCAAAAGGCCATTGGTAATGCTCCAAAACCACAAACAAATACCTAAAAAAAAAAATCTCATTATGCTACATTCGATTATTGCCAAAATTCAGACCAGCAAGGATGCTACATTCTTTTGACAAAAGATCTACAAACCATCATCTAAAGCTCATTAAAATAGAGAAAAGAAAAGGAATGTCTTGATTTAAGAGCTGTCTGTTTCTGCAATCCCTCAAGAAACTAGATTTTCTTATAGCAGCATAGAGTTATTGATTATTAAATTTCATGAAACAACAGCAATAATAGAATCAACATTAAGTATATTATTTGATCTATCCACTCTTATTATTTTAGGCCCCATATTTCTATTACTTTAGATACTTGCTTTTTATCTCTAAAAGCAAAAAGGCTAAAAGTTTGCATGGATATAAAAGCTTAAAATATATTTGAATATTGTTTTTGTGAATAACAAAATGCATAGTACTACATTTTAACCATTTGTAATTGCTCCTTTTTAATCAAATTCATTTACAATCTTTATCCCTTTCTTTCACTTTTACCAACTTTTAGCTTCTAGACACAACCTTGCTTCTAACGCGTTCTAGCTTCTAACAAAATGTATAGTAAGAAGCAAAAGTAACAACCAAACACTAATCTTCTAACACGTTCTTGGCATGGAGAAAATTTTAAAATAGTTCTATGTTACTCACAACAAGATACATTGCCGGCCCTTAAATTGCTTCAACTTATAGAAAATTTTCTCTTACTACTATATATTGGAGTGAAATGGCAAGTTAGGAAATATATCGTAATAAGAATCTCATTCAATTCAATATTCAAATGTATAGTGTAGCCTTTATTACCATGGATGGGCTGCATAATGATTAATGAACAAGTTAAAAGAACCAGAACATGCAGGACAAAACAAAAATGAGTCCTTGCAATTTCTTCTTGTGGCTTCTATTTATATCACAAAGCAATCTGAGGAGCAACCAACCTCATACTCAGGGCAGCAAGTATATGCAAAGCATCAATTATACAAACTGAGCCAAGGGAAGGAAATAGACAATATGCCTAATTCGCCATTGGCTCATCAAGCTCTCACCAAATTTAGTTAAAGAAATCGAGAGATACTAGAAATTAACAACAAAAATGAATCAGAATAAGGAGAATCAAATTACTCATTTTTTGAGACTGCAAATAAACACTTTGGATTCCAACTTGAACGAAATGAGAGACCTGATCACAGAATTTAGATTGCCAAAGATGAACTTTCTAAGAACTACTATGTAATAACCTCAGGTTCTATGAAGCAGTAAGCGCTCTAGAAAATTAAAGCTCATAGGCTGAACCAAAATGTTTTCTTGATAAGAATCAAGAGTTCATATAAGACACAATTCAAGAACATAAAATAGAAGGGAATACAACAAGATATGCTCAGGATAGCTCATGAAGCATTCTAAGTTGATAGTAGAATGGTAGAACATATATACAGGAACTTAAAATTTTCCTAGGCAAAGAAAAAGGTATAAAAGATTGATCCCCACTGCTTGATATGAATCAAAAGCATCCATTCAACAACATAGAACATCATAGCAACAAGATATGCTCATAATAGCCCATAAAATATTGGGATAGTAGGCCATATGTATACAAGAACTTGATTTTATTTTTTAAGCAAATAAAAGTTTATAGAAAAAAATCTTGAAAAAAATGCTTTGATACTGCACTTCACCCCACTTCTGGTATGCAGTTAGGCCACCATTTTTCATAAAGATGCTTTGAATCAATTGGCAATTGGTTAACAATTATTCAATTTGATAAATGCGAATCAGCTTAATCAAATGTTGTTATCTATTCATTTAGAAATTGAACATGTAAAGAACTAATTTCTTGAGTTCAGCCAAACATTATGTAACCCCTAGTCCTAGCTGACAGGGAAATCCTATTAATAACAGCTGTCTCCATTTATCATGAAAACAGTATGATTTTCTTCCATCCACAAGCACCATGTAAAGCACTGTGGTGGGTTGTGAGGATAACAGAAATGATACCTGCGATTATTAACCGATTCATGCAAACAGAAAAACTCTCATTTAGCAAAAATACATAAATACTTTTCCAATTTAACAATCCACTATGTTTGGATTGGAGGAATTCGGGGAGGAAAGGGAGGGATAAAAGGTTTCCCTTCCCTTCCTCGGGTATGCCACTGATCTTTAGAAAAGGGGAATCCCTCCCCTTCCTTAAAATTTATAAGGTTTTTTCAATTCCCCAAAATTGGAGGGAATAGGAGGAGGTCAAGGAAATTTTTGTGATTAATTAGTGTCTTCCAGCCAATCTTTTTCTTTCCTTTCTTGTTTTGCGAAACCCAAACAAGAAATTTAAACTGAATAAGCCACATCAAGATTTTGTATGCAATAAATCTGTCCACCTTCAGCTCAAAAATCAAATACTTCACTCACTTCCTCACGCCTAAGAGCTCAGTCACAGTCAGAGGTCCTCTGCATACAACAATACTAATATTATTTCTAACATGTTTTCTATCCATAGCTAGAGAAATTCCAGAACTTCCTAAAGAACCCATAACTTCATAATAATAGTAGAAACCATGGCAAAAAAAAAAAAAAAATGAAGAGAGAAAGAAATAACACTGACAGACATCATGGCGAGAACCCATCGGTGACGAGACTCAGCATTTAGGCCAATGACAGTTCTTGTAGGATGCTTGAGAATGGTAAATAGAAGCCAGACATGATAGAGGGCAAGCAGCAGTAGCCCCAATGGAACCAGTAAGAAGTCCAACTTGTCTTCTTCCATGATTTTTTTCTTTTTTTAATTCTTCTTTCTTGCAGACTCAGTCAGACACAAAGGATAAAACATTCATTCACAATATGTATTAGAAGTGGGGGTTTTGTTTTTTCGGATGAATTTTTAAAATTAAATTCGAATTGAAGTCGACTTTTTATACGAATTTCATCTATCGGGTTAATACAGTTTCATTTATTGATATTTAAATTTTATTATTTTATTTTTTAAATGTTATTTTAATTCTCTCGGTCCCTTTACATTTTTCTTCTAAGAATTGACACAAATTTTAAGGAAAATATATTTTAATAATTTTTTATTCAAAAATCTAAAACTCAAATTTAATTTTACCCGCATTTGATGCCAACTCCTTCCAAACAAATTTCACTTTTTTGTAAAATATTTGATAGTGGCATCAGGTGTGTTAGTAGTTGTTTTAGTGTATTTTGTGCAATAATATTAATTGATAATAAAAAAAAAAAAGCGTGAGTGTCAATTACTTTTGAATAAATTTTACTTTTTTAAAAAATATTTGATATTAGCATCTGGTGCATTAGTAGCTGTTTTATTGTACTTTGTGTAATGAAATTAATTGATAAGAAAAAAAGTGAGGGTGCCAATTACTTTCAAACATATTTCACTTTTTGTAAAATATTTGGCACTGGCATTAGCAGTTATTTTATTATATTTTGTGTAATAATATTAATTGATAAGAAAAAAGTAAAGACAAATTTGAAAATTTAATTATAATTATTATTTATTTTGGGTAAGAAACAAATAAATTGAGACTTTCAAAACATAAAAGATGAAAGGAGTATAAATTTTTAATATATTTAAATAATTTTAAATTTTAAATTTTTATTTTTATTTTATAAAAATTTTAAATATATATAAATTAATAAAAATATATAATTTAATTTTTTATTTTTTATTTTTATTCAAAATTTAATTCTAATTTAATATATATAATATCTAAATGTAATTTATATTAAATAAAAATAATATAATTTAACTCAAATATTACTATTTCCAATCAATTTTTAATTTTTTAAAAAAAAAATTTCCACTCTAATCGAAACTATCAAAAAAAAAAAAACCTAAGGAAAAAAAAATGATTTGAAGGAAAGACAAAAAAAATTCTTGTATTATTATATTAAAAACCGTTGTCCCTACCTAAAAGCGAAAACGACTGGAAATAAAGGACATCACCAGCTCTGGCTATCTTTTTACTGTATAAACAAATAGAATGCCCAAGTTTCAGGTGTAGGTTTTTCAAATTGAAAATATGACAAAAAATTTGTTATTAAGAATTAGTATTGGAATTAGAGTTCACATAAAAAAAACCAGATTTAATTAATTTATCTTCATTTTCAGTTCTATTAATTTTAAATGCAATTAAAAACTGTAATTATGTTTTGACAAAAAGAAAGATTAATTTTTTTTCAATGAAATAATTTATTCTTTATTTTGGAGTAAATATGATCTTTTTATTAAAAAAAAGTTAACAACATTAAAATATAAGAATTAATTATCATGGAACATTTGGTATTTTTGTAAGATCATAATTGTAATATAATCACCGAAGTGATTTATTACTAAAGTTCTATTATCACTCCTAATTTGAAATCATTTTATTTAGTTGATAATTAGTAATATTTAAAAATTAAATATCATTATGTTTAATATTATTAAAAATTAGATTTTATTTTATTTTAAATAATATGAAAGTAATTATGCATATTGTAATAGTTATAAAAGTTAATAATTTTAATTTATTTAAAGATAATAATTTATAAAATATTAATAATATTGTATTTATTTTATTAATTTCATAATAAAATATAATTCAATTATTAAATTAATAAATATATTTATTAATAGATAAACTAATTTTTATAATAAAAATTACATAAAATATTTGAATTAAAAAATAAAATTAATTTATTAAATTTATAATAAAAGAAAAATAAAAAATTATATTATATATAAAATATAAAAAAAAACACTCAAATTATTTGTTAAACTTATTATAATTTATATTAGTTTTAAAATACAAAACTTTACAATATAAAATAATTGCAATTTTAAGAGAAAGTAAGTTTTTAATTTACATATTAGACAATTAATTTTGCATATCACTTTACTTCGATAATAAAAGTTTTTCACTCTTTTGATTGAGAATTAGATCATCTTCCAATATAGTAATATGATCATTTCAGTAACTCAAGATCATCGTCACATAAGCTCACCTAATGTTTATCAAACACAATGATTTAATCACTATGTGTATATTTTCATAGTTTTTTATTTGAAGTGATCGCCTCATACCAAATACTATTTAAGAGTATTAAATATTAAAATTAACAAATTTAATTGCATTTCAACTATTGGTTAACATTAAAATTCTAAACGTTGGATATATTCGAGTCTCTTCAAGCCTTGGGTTCTGTAAAAAATGTTTTTTTTAGTCTTTTTAGTTGCAAAGGTTATGGTTTCAATTAGTATTTTCAATAGAAAATTGTTTAGTTTTTAGTGGTTATAGAGTGCAAAGGAGAAGAAGATGGTAGAAGAACTAGAGCATATATGAACAAAACTCACACCGACAGAAGAAGAAAGGGATGGTATTGACATAATAGATATGCCAGGAGATATGGAATTGACTGTAAATCTACGAGTGATGGGGAAACTATTAATAAATAGAACTTTCAACAAGGAGGTATTGATCAACAATCTCATAATATTATGGAAGCTAATAAAAAAGATGAAAGTAACATTTCTGGAGACTAATTTGGTTCTATTCAAATTTGGAGCAAGGAATGACAAAAGAAAATTGTTGGATGGATCTCCATGAACTTTTGATAAGAATTTGATTGTCTTTCAAGAATACAATGGTGATTTACGGCCATCCGACTACGAGTTTGATAAGGTAGACTTTTGGATTAGGCTCTACGGGCTGACTCTGAAGCTAATGAATAAAAATGTGGCAAAAAGATTGAAAGTAAACTGGGCTTGTTCAAGGGAGTAAATAACAATATGTTGTTCTCATCGGAATGAGTTTTCTTAAGCATAAGAGTGGAGATAAACATAACAAAGCCACTACAAAGAGTTATCTTAGTCTCTAGGATACGGGGTAGACTAAAGTATGAAAAATTACCAAATTTTGCTATTTATGTATGGTTATAGGTCACACAAACAAGAAGTGTGAAACGACCATAGAGGATCAGGAAGAGAAATGATAGTATGGAGTTTGGTTGAGAGCATCCCTAACAAAAAGAGTAAACTTTACAACAATGGGGATGAGCATGAAAGAAGAACATAATCAAAATTATACAAAAGTAGGAAAAAATGGTGGACGAAAAACATTTTGCATGATAATGATGGCAACCTTTGAGCAAAATGCAATGAGGTGCAAACAATGGAAAAACAAGTGATAGAGGGAACGATAGAGGATAAAGCAAGGTTCTAGGCATTGATTACGAGCATAAAAGCTGCATGAGGAAATCAAGCAAACATGAATGATAAAAGGGAAGAGAACAAAAATCAATGATGTGCAAATAATATCTCAAAAAGAGGAAATAAGGGAATAAAGGGAATTAGCAATTTAAAGTTAATCGAAAAAAATGAAAGATTTAATCTAGTTGCATATGTCACAACTGATAATAAAGGAGTCTAAGAAATAAACAAGGAAATGAAGAAAACCATAATGGAAGAGATAATTATGGGATAACAAAATATTGATAGCATGCAAAAAGCAGAAACCTCTACATGCATTAAGGCAAATAAAAAAAAAAGAGGGATGTAGAAGAAGTTGGCAAGAGCAACTAGGTAAAATAATGAAATAATTAATACCAACAGCGTAGGAAAAAAGAAAGTGGAACAAAATATGGGAGAAGCAATGGATATTAATCAACAAATAAATAAGATGAAGGAAACTGAGAAGGATATTATGTGAGAGGAATTTACAACAGTAGAGATTGATATTCAATCCCTTCAAGAGCCATGAGGTCATATCTTGGAACTACCGTGGGCTTAGGAACTCATGGGTAATTTGGGCTCTTCATGAATTGTGAAGAATAAAGATCCCCATATAGTTTGTTTGATAGAGATGAAACTGCATAAGAAAAATTTGAATAAAATAAAAAATAAATGCAAAATGGAAGGTTGTTTTGGAGTTAGCTCAAAAGGTAATTATGGAAAAATTGCTATGATGTGGAAACCGAATTTGGACATCAAGCTTAAAAGTTTCTCCAAAAGCCATATAAATGTTCAAGTAAAGTAAAGGAAAGAAATTATGCAAATCCATGGAGAATCATGGGGTTTTATGGTGAATCGGACATAAGATAGAGATGTGTCATAAGAGCTCCTAAAGGAATTAGCCAAACAAAATGATAGTGCATGATTGTGTATAGGAGATTTTAATGCATTTATGTAGAATAGTGAAAAGATAAGGTAGAACTTGAAGAGAAAGAACCAAATACAAGCTTTTAGAGATGTATTGGAGGAATATGAACTAGACGACCTAGGATTTATAAGACAATGGTATACTTCAAAAAAAAAAAAGACACCCAAGATAAATATTAAAGAAAGATTAAACAGAAAGTTTGGCAACAACAAGTGGTGTGATGTTTTCCCTAACTATGAAGTAAAACACTTAACGAGCTTAGTTTTTTATCATTGCCCTATAATGATAAACACTAGAAAAGATGGTCTAACCAAGGTTAAAAAGGGAAGAAAAAAAGGTGAAGGTTTAAGGCAAGCTAGGTAAAAGAATTGAGAGTTGAAGAAATAGTGTCCAAAACATGGACATATATTCATATGAAAGCTCTAGGGACAAATTACTTGGGTGGCATAAATCTTTTATAGGCAATAATAAAAGGTGAATTGACACATTAAAAAAAAAGCTACAAATGTTGAATAATAAGGCCCTCATATATGAAAATCTTGAATAAAAATGCATGGACAAAAATGAATTTGGAATGAAAGAAATTTATTAGAGGCAGAGGTTACATGTTTAGTGGCTTTGTGAGGGAGACAAGAACACAAGCTTTTTCCACACCCAAGCATCGATGAAGAGGCGTTAGAATAAAATACGGAGTTTAAAAAATTTGA